TATATATCTATATAAAAAATTTTCTGATATAAGAAAAGCATTTATATTATATATTGTTACTAGGTTAATAAGTAGAGTGCATGAGAAAATTCATAAAGCTGGTGAAATTTGTTATATAAATGCTTCTGTATTATTTGAACCACTAAATATATTAATAACACTCTTGTATACAAGTTGTATAGCAGGTGTATTGCCATTGGGACTATTAATTATATCTGATAAACTTGAAATAACAATCGAAAATGCAATTAATCTTTTAAAATTAATTCTTTCTAAATATGCATTTTTTGGTTATGGACATGATATTGGGCCTCAAAATATTTTAACTGATAATTCAGCTTTAGAAAGAAATGCATTAAAACTTTGTTGGCCACAATCTAATTTACTTTTATATATATTCCATGTGTTGCAGGTATTCTGGCATTGGCTCTACAACTCGAAGCATGGTATTAATCAAGAATATCGAATACTTATAATGAACCAAATGAAAAAAATTTTATATTCTCGTACAGAAAATGATATAAATAATAATTATCAAGAATTAAAGAATAATTATTATCAACTGTATCCATTGCTTGCAAAACATTTCGAACGCCTTTGGAACCGACGGCAATATTGGGCCCATTATTTTCGGTTAAATTTATTGTTGTGCGGTAACCATACAAATAACTATATTGAACGCGGCTTCGGTTTGCTTAAAGATATTATTTTTGCAAGAACTAAAGCATATAATTCAGTTCAGGTTTTTTATTTTGTCACTAAAAATATGGAACGGTTTTATGAGCGTCGTCTTTATGGATTTGCGCATCGACATCCTGGTCATATGGAAATTGCGAAGAGATTTTTGTGTCCCGGCTGGGAGGATGTTGATAAAGATTCAATTTCTAAGCTAGCAAATTCAGATAACTACTTAGTACCAAGTACAAGAAAAGAAACAGGTCTTATTTATAACATAAATAGTGCTATCGGAACGTGTGATTGTCCCATTGGAATGTCAGGTGCACCATGTAAGCACCAAGGTGCTGTTGCAATGAAATATCACATTAGAATTATCAACTTTTTACCTTCATTAACGCCCAACGATCGCATGACCTTTTCATATATTGCAAGCGGTTGGTATTTGTGTAATAAAAGTTATATATATATATACATACAGTAACATTGCAATAATTTTTTTAGGACTCCATGTGAAAGATTGCTCTTTTTATGCATCATTACGCACAAAACCTGCTTTAATCAAAAATAATACTACAAAAGACAATGAAAATGGCGATTCTAATGCAATAGCAAATAATGAGGTTGATACGGATAAGGAATTTAGGTTTGTTTTAACTTTATCATATTACTGTATTATCGCTATCTCTTTATAAATTTTACAGAAAAGATAAAATTTTATATCAACTTTGTATTATTAATATTGATTATGTTAGTGAACAGGAAGTAGACTTTGATGGTTCATCTTTTAATGATTTTTTGCAAGAAATCGAAGACGATTATAAGACCTGTGGCACACAACTACGAATGGCATTTGATAAGTTTGCCGAACGATACAAAGCCACAAAATCACGATCAATTGGTTGTGTAACTACCTTCCTTTATAATCATAGATATAACCTAGATCCCTTGGCACGCATCAAAAGTGGTGCAATGATTCGAGTTCAACCTGAATCTGTGAAACGAAGAAGAACAAACGTTAAACGCGCAGATAAAGAGAATGATCACCAAGAAATTCCCAAACGTAAAGTGCGAAAAATAAATAAAACTAAACATAGTTTGTGCAAAAATGTTTCCAATAATACCTTGAATTAATGGTATAATATTTGATCTCGATGTAACGATAATATTTCAGGGATAGACAAATAGGAATAAAGATATTAATGACCCTATAAACTTACAAGTATGAAGTTATAATTGAATGAAATTTTGCGCCGAAATTTTTTTTTTCTTTTAAAATAACATTAAAAAAAAAAAAATTAACAAGAGGATTTATTTGCGATATTGTGTATGAAAAATTCATATAATTATATGAAAGGCATCTAATATTACATTTGTTTTATTGAATAAATTTAATATGTAATCATAAGATAGTAATTATTTGAATTGTCAAAATTACTAAAAATATTAGTATTTCAATACGTATGCGGCTCTTCATAAATTTTTAAAATCTAAAACTCAAATTCAATAAAAGTTCAATCTCACATATCGTCTTCCAAGCCGTGGATATTCGACATTAATCTTACAGCGAATACGTAGCGACCAGAATTTTTTCTATTTAGATTTTTATGCCATATTGGCTAAGTTGCACCTAAGTTAGAACATTTGCTATAAAAAAAATTTACATCATAAGTAGTAAATGCGAAACATGGTTGGTTAATACGAATGGTTTATACCAGCTACGTATATAAAATGCATATAAAATTATATTTATGCTATATTTATACGGTTATATAAATTGCTATTTATATCGAATTTTGAATGGTTAGTTATATGGTGCGTTGTATATACGTACAGTACATATAGTTTTCTTTTTTTTTTTTTGGTATAATCCGAAAGTTCATTTATTATCTACCTTGCATGTACTATCAGCAATAGTTACACCGCATGTCACGTTACATTGATCGACATAACCTGGCACAGAATGGATGGGTGCAAATGATTATTATAATTATTGGAAGAAAGCATAGTATAACTACCATTATTATTATATAAAGATACTAGGTTTTGGGGTAAAGACACCAGATTATAGTTATTAAGCAAAGGCACTAGACAAATTTATTGGATAAAGAAACCAGATCACAGTTGTTAGGCAAAGATACTAGATCACAGTTATTGGGCAAAGACACAAAATCACAGTTATTAGATGAAAATATTAGACCACAATTATTAAACAAAAGCAAAATATTATTGTTAGATGATGATACTGGTTCGTCATTTATTATAGTTAGGAATATTACCATATTTGATTATTGATGACTGCATCTTATTTAGTAATGATCATCAATCGGATTATTCTAGTTCTTTTTCTAGATTGTTCCACATATAACAATGATTAGCCAATCAAATTGAGAGCCAATCATTTTTGACTATATAGTTTCTTTAACAATACTAAAACTAGTTCTTTTGTGTATACAAATTTTTTTTTAATTTTGTTGCTTGCCTATTAACCTTAACCTTTTTTTTTGCTATATATATAGCTACAAATATTCTTTAAAAGAATCAAAATCTTGACTTTAACAGCTGCTAGCATGGTGTAGAAAATAAGTGCTTCAATTGGAATTTTTTAACCAGTATGTGTTAAAAATTTTAAATAGGTTAGCAAAGATATTTTTTAAAGAGAATCAACTTCTTTAAATCTTGTAAATGCACTTTATGAAAATACTATACTGAAAGGTTTGAATCTTAATCTCAACTTGATTAGCAGCAAAAAAGCATTATAAATGTATTTTACAAGAATATTCAGTAATCTTTTTTTAAATTTTACTAAGATTCAAATTTAATATTTATTTAATATAAAAATAACAATGGGCTTTTAAGAAACATTTATATTGAAGCATTGATTTTTTAAAAGATTTTGCTATCTAAATTCCAAACTATTACAACTTGGGTTTGTTTATGCCCAAACTCTGGTCATGTTAATATTTTAATAATTTTATTTTTATTTATAATCTTTATTTAAACAAATAGTATATATTTTTGTAGTTATATATAAATAATATGTATTTTTACAAAATAAATTAAATAAATAAATTATGCCTTCCGGCATCCTCCTTAAAAGGATTTTTTTTAAAAAAATATTAATTTTTATTTAAAATACTTATAAGAATCAAATGATCTTTATTCTATATTTCTGAATTTTCACTATTATCAAATTCATAATCTGAATTAAATAAGGACTTTACCTTCTCTAAAATAATTAATAAATCATCTTTCTTTTTTTGCTTGAATCTATGATACTTCTTTCGAACACTTTCATTCATCTGTTCGAAAAATGCTTCAATCTTTGCAATAATCTCTGCTCTGCTCATGTTTGTTTTTGCTTCTTGGGCAATTTTTTCTTGTTTTGTGACTAGAATTAACTTAAAAATATAACTAGGATTCTTATTACAAAAAACATTAGTAAAATAATCTTCTCTAGCTTGCTTTGCTAAACTTGTAAAATTTATCAACTGTGTACTTAACTCCTGTTCTCCCAAGCTTTTACAAATAGTTCTCAGATCAAAGAAACTATCCTTTCTTAGATGAATTCTAAATCTTTGACATTCTATAGTTGAATCAGATCGGGTTCTTGGGCTAGTCATTTGAAGATCATTATATCCAATCGAATTAAAAAAAATTGCAATGCAACTATTTTATAAATAATTTATAAGTTACTATATAGAATTATTAAGAATAAATGTAAAAATAAATATATCGAATTACCTGAAGGAATTTTTTGCAATTTCTTGCAGCGATTTCCCAATGACGTGCTTGTAGAACAGATGGTATTAACGTTTTAAGGATTTTGTTTATTTCCTCTAAAACCACATCTAACCCTGGTGCTAATTGAAAAGTCCTGATCAAGAAACTACACTGTTCTTTTCTATAATATCTCGTATAGTCGGATCAAGCTGTATTAATTATACTTTATTTACAATATCTATCATACGGTATATTGGATGATGTTGTGCCAACCACACTGACGAAATTACTCTTTTTACAGCTCTTTTTAATAATAGATTATTGTTTCTGATAGCCATCTTATAATTAATAATAGACTGAAGATAAATGAAAATCTATATAATACTAGTAAATTTTAATAATTAATTGTAAATGCTTTAATATAGCAACAAAAAAAATAATAAATTTACCTGTTCAAATTTTAATTGGTAAAGTGAATCCTTTTGATTTTTCACCTAGACTAAATATTCTTCTACTAACAGATTGGAATGCTTCTTGACGTATAGCTATATCAATTCTATAGCCATTGCTTTACAGTAAATATTACAGACTAAATCCCAAGACTTATGATAATCATAACACTTCTTGAAGTAGGCAAGTTGATTCTCAGTTTTGTACCCTTGAGATATCGCAAATTGTCTAATATTAATATCTCTTTTTAATTGATATAAAAGTCATATAAGTTTAATTTAATAAAAAATAGTTTTAAACAAAGGAAATAATTTTTAAATAAATTATCAATAGCTTAGAAGGCCCAGTAAAATTAAAAAATTCAACTTATCAAACACTGTAATATTTATTACTGATTTAAATCAGTAAATTTATTCAATTCTATCATGTGATTTTATGAACATGCATGTTCACAAAACACGAATTCTTGAATATTATCCAATATGTTAAATTTTTTAATTAAGCTAGAAGTGCAGAAGTGTTAAAAGCTAAAGTCGCATAATATATATAATCCTATAAATATTTAAGAACTATAAATTTTTGTTAATTTAATGTTAAACAATAGATTCAGTTAATATAATCTCATGATTTTTGTGATGATGAACAAGAAAAATTTCTGAGATTCCAAATTGTTTATTAATTCATATTTGGTAAGTTTTTTAAAATCTACAAAAATCTCTAATTTTTACACAACATTTTGATTTGCAGAGGTCATACCTTTTTGCAAAGTGCAATAATTACTAGTAGATAGTAGCTCCAAGTAGTATTTCAAATCAAAAATCGATTAATTAATTGACTTGACAACTAATCGATTGATAATTTTATTACTATATTAAACGACTAATCGATTGTTGGCGATTAATCAACTAATCAGTTAATCGATTAGTTGACTAATCGACTAGTTATTTTATATATCAAACTTTGATCTTGTAATTAATAGCCATTTCGATATATCAACTAGTCAACTAGTCAATTAATTGTATTTTTGGTCCAATTTGTAACACTAATACCAAGAATAAACAAGCTATACACTTATGCATTTAATGCAAGACTTACAAGTTTTCTCTTGAAGTCACAAAATTGACACTATTAAGCTATGAATTTAGTATTTCATACTTTCAACTTAAATATATAAAAATAATACAATATTAATTTACCAATTCAATTCTATATATGCTCGAAGCATGTTCATTTCCTCGTGTAATTGTCCAGGAATAAGAACAAGCCAGAGGTATTTCTCTTTCACTTTAATTATACAGTGATACAGAATGCTATCACACGTAACAGCCACCCAATAGCACCTTCTATCTTTAATTCCTGAAATTTTCTTAATATGAGAAAGAACCTTTTCAATATTTATTGTTTTATTTGGATTAATATTAAGAGGATCAGAAATAAAAATTTTTAGAATATTAACTCTCTGATCTGCAGATGACTTCTAAATAACACTAATTCTTGGTATAGTAGGTAATCTAGTTTTCTTTTCAACAAGATATAGTTTAAAAATTATTGATTGCTCTTTATCTCTTTTCTCTAACCCTAAAATGTTTTGTTTAGATAATTCTGACAATGCTGGTAGATGAGCTTAGCACTTAGGGCAAATTTGCTTTTGATTTTCAATATTTTGTTCTCCGCAGCTAGTGTACCATTTATTACAGTAGCTGCTCGAATCTGCATTAGCTACAAAGGAATCAATTTTATTAGTTTTAGATAGTTTTTCTTCACACAATAATTCATTAAAATAAACATGTAATTCTTGATCTACTGCTACTTGCATTTCTAATGTAATTTCAAAAAGATTTTTGTATTGTGGCCTATCAAGAAAATTAAACAGTGTGTTAGTAATATACTGAATATAATTTTGCGGCTTCATATTAAAAGCAACAAAACTAGTAATAATATGAAATATCATTGTGTTTAGTCCTCGATCGAGATAATTTTACTGCTCTTTCTGCTCATTATCAAATGCTATAAATAAAAGTCTGTTAGACAAAGGTTCTTCTCTTTCTGATAGCCCATCTAACCAATTTTGAAAATGAGAATAGCTTCCTATACAATATTATTTAATTTAATATTCATTAAGTAATTATTAATAGTTAAAAGCAAATTAAATAAAATTAAATACAGAAATATTAACCTGAACATGTTATATGGTTATCAATATTAATAATAGTTTTGATCGTGCAATGGAATATTTGATAGCCAATACTATAAAATTTATTTTTGAAACATATTTCCCATGTCTTGATCCATAAATTAAATTGATAGTCATTGCTCTTTTAAAAGTCTTTTCAGTACTTAAGAAATCTGTGTTAAGATTATTGTGGGTTAGTATCTCAATAAATTTAACAACAACTCAATTATGTTTACTTAGCCATGTTTGTGGATCATAGTTTAATAGATTTTCTAAAGAAAATCTATTATTATCTCTAATTAGAGATTTAATATCTTTATACAAACTTTCTCACTCATGTTGAATAATATTAATAACTTCTTCTATATGTTTATGCTAGTCATTATGCCAAGAATCCCAATGTTCAATAAGTTTATTATTCTCTTTACACTTCTTCTAATATAATTCTTTTAGATGAAATATCTTCTTACAATATTTACTTATTGTTTCTCTTAATTTCTTTATTTCTCTGTTTTAAATTTCTACCTGCAAAAGTAACTCTGTAATTGCATTATTGAAGTATGCTACATCTTCGTTATTTTCTTGACTCTTATCGAATAAACTTTTGACTCTTTCAAGATCTATTGATAGGTGCGACCCACCAAAGTTAGTTGTCTCTTCATGAGCTGACCTAGAATCATTATCAGAGTTAGTATTAATTTAAGATTTTTTGTGAGTAAAAGACAAAAATGAAGATGACAAGAGTGATGAACTATTTAATAGCTGCTAGTAAAAATGATCCTTAGAAATAAGTTGAATAATGTATTTGGCAGATTGAGTAAGTACTCAACGAAGAATAAAGATCTATAAGTTTAAATATAAAAGGGTAATATAACGAGAGTCACCTTTCTGCTACTGGATAGTCTGCATGTCTCCAGGTTTGTAATAGATTTGTATTACAGGCTTTTAATTTAATTCCTTCATAATTTTTAACTAAACCTTGAAAAATGAATCGAAGTTTGGTCATTCTGATTGCGACATCTTTATATTTTAGTATAAAACTTAAAAAAAAAAAAATGTTAGTTTTATATAAAATTCACTTAAAAGTTTTAGATTTTTAAGTTTCATTTACTTTTTTAATAAGCGTTGATTCCAAAATATTATTTATTGATCCTAAAAGTAAAGTTTCTTATTTACAGATTCATATAATTACTGGCAATATATAAGTAGTACAAGAATTTTTAATATACAATTAAAAAATGAAAAAAAAATACGAAAAGTATTAATTGATAGCTAATTAAATTTTTGCAGATTATTCTAGATTCAATTTCCATATTTGGCAATTTTCTTG